AGTTATGCTCGATTTTTTGCCGATTTTTGACACACCACGCCAAAAAGGTTGCCCATCACTGCCCTGGGGAGTGGGCGGCATACAAATCTTATTAAATTTGCAAAGTCTTATTAAAGGCCTCCAGCGGCCGTTGCCACGAGGAGCTGTTTGCTGGAGAGCTCCAGAGGCAAAAGCCTCAAAAATCTCTCCCAATAGCCCCGGGCTAGATGAGAGACTTAGTTTTAAAGAGCTATCCTAATTCCTTCCAATTTAGATGAAATTTAGAACAAAATCCAATTAAATACGATTTAAATAACTTTTAAAGTTGAGGAGAAAGCAGTTAGCACAGCCAGTTCGATCGAACTGAGTCTAGAAAAGCGGGAGGACACTCCCCCGAGGTGATGACATCATTTTGGTAGACTAAGTTCTATTGACCACTGTCTCCACCAACATTGGAGAATAACAACCACATTCTATCTAAACATGAAGTGTGAATTTAACTCTTATTTCAACATAAAAAGTTTCTTACATTGAACATTTCTTAAAATAAGCATATGTGCCACAAAAATAAATTATACTGTCCCATTATTAGCCTTCAAACGTACCTTTAAATGATACTCTAAGATATCACTTTCACCATGATTAAGTTCACTGCTTCTTTTCCGTTTCTAAAGTTGAAAATGAGCAGATTAACAATACTATCATTCAAATGTTAATTCAAATATTAACTTATAATTAATAATACATTATTCTTTATGTAAGAAAAAGATGTACTTTGTGATGAACTTGCATCCCTTAAACTTCACAAAGACAACTAAATGTGTATGTTAGTAAATAGCAGAATCTTGTAGATGCACAACTTCCAACTTAATTGGTGCAACACATATTGGTGACTTCTCAGCATCTTACAATTCACCAACCATAAATTGTAGTGGAATGTACGTAGATACTTGAGAATTTCCTTTGTGGTATCTATTTACCACTCTTCCAGTTTTTTGGGAAAGAAAGAAAATCCTGCTTTTGATTTGCAGGTATTTAGATCTTTCTTTCTTAGGTCTTTCTTTTACCCACCAGGCTTTTTTTTGCAAAAAAAAGGCCGTGGAGAGTCTTTTTCCAAGGGTGGGATGCAAGAGAAGTCCAGCTGCACCCTGGCTACACAAAAGATGCATGAAGACCTTGGTACAGTAGTGGCGTGCAGTGTGAAGGGCAATGTGGGTAGCAGCAATAGGTAGATGACTGTCCAAAAGGTCAGAGATGGATGTATGATAGACATCAACTGAAGATGAGTGGTTACTAAGTGACCAAACAGGAATGGCTTGAATTGGAGCAGATCCTCACCTAAAAACTGGTAGGGTTCAGTTAACAAGAAAGGAGACTGCCAGGATTGCCATTACTAATGCAGTCATATGATATCACATTTTATGATTGCATCAGTTAGCAGTGGAAATTTAAATTCCAATTACCATTATTAACCAAGAAGTACATGTAACACTGATTATTACAGTATCCTTCTCCAATGTGCACTACAATCCAGATGAGCCCACACACAATTCTCATAATCCAAAGCCAGTGATGGCTGGAGATAATGGAAATTGGGATAGTAGGGGAAGTGGTATTATCCAGCTAGTGTTTCATACCTTGATCATTTCCAGAAATGCCAGTGCTACATTTTCATGGAAATTATAGCAGTAATACAGTATATCCAGGGAGCACCAGATATGGGTGACCCAGAATAAATGAACGACAGAAATTATCTTCATATTCAGGTTTTGGGGAAGAAAAAAACTAGTTTTTTGCAGTACCCTTTTCATTGTAAATTATTGACTATAGGAAAAATATAGGATTTTCAGAGGACTGATGGAAAAATGTCCCTCACTTTTATTATCAGATGCATCATTGTATATGATACAGAGACCACAAGAGACAAAGAAAGTCAAGCCATGTGGCTTTCTGAAAGAGAAAATGCCACATAATTAAACCAGCTTTAAACATCTCCTTCTAAGATTACAACTTGGGGATGGTAAATACATATGATAGCATGAGTATAAGACACATATTATTACTATTATTCAGTGAACTACTAGCATTTTACATTTTATAAATTCATAATACAACTTTACTAGCACATGCTAAAATTAGTTGATTTCATTTACCAGAGGTTTATTAAATGCTGAAAGCAGGTAAAATTATACAGTGCTTATTACCAATAATCTACACAGCACACTTTTGTATTGAAAATGTAATAATCTATAACTATTTTTTAAATAAATCACTGATTTCACTTTATGTTATTTACAGAATGAAAATGTATGTAAATATGTAAGAAATGTATCTTTATACTCTACCTTTTTAGCCTTAACTGTAATAACAGATTTCTTGTCCTTGTCATTTTTCTGCTGTTCAGATATACTAGTTTCTAGATTAATCCCACTATGCTTTTCCGTCTGGAAGCTTGCAGGAATATGGGGCTTAATTACATTAAAAAATTCTTCTCGAAATAAGTACGTCCTCTTTACCATCTGATTAGATTTTTCTCCTGAATTGCTAAATTCATGAATATTTTTTTTTGTACATGATTTTATAGGAATCAAACTTGTACCCGATGAAGCAGGTATAGTATTGTCAAAACTACCCTTAGCTGACTGCTCAAGAGAGGGGCAAAAATAGTATCCAGATTTATTTATGAAAAGGAGGTGATCTAGCATCCAGCCAGCTGGCAGATAACATACAATTGACATTGTCTGCTTTCCAAAGCATAATTCTTCCAAATGAATTAAAAACTATATTCCTTTGGGAGGGGGGAACCAGAGAAGTAAATCTTTAGAGAAGTGTTGCATTAACCGATTGTCAAATATTCAATTCTGTGAAACTAGGACTTCCTATGAGAACAGCATCTCTCCTTTGTTCGAGACTGATCATTTTCAAGCATCCATGCGAGTCTGAAAAAAAGATGCCACTGCTTTAAGAAATTAGTAGTTCATTAAAATTAAGACTATTCTTAAAGTCAATGAGAAGATACTTTTGCTGTATTCTATATTCAATATTTTGCATAACAAAAAGGAAAAATAGCAATAATGATATGCAGAGATACTTGGAGATACTTTTAACTGTGAAAAATTATCGATACACAAGATCCTAGCATAGATCATCCAATGCCAAGTAAAATTTGCTTTGAATGTTAGGCTATAAGGTTCAAATTAAAAACATAAATAGCCCATAAGTTCTGAACACATGAAAACATTTGTATATATTTTTTTTAGTTTTGCTTGAAGATTTGGACAATTATAACAATATTTAGATTAATATAGCCGAGAGAGCTCACTGCTTTAGATATCTATTTTGTTACAATTCTGGAAGAGACATAGCAAGTCATTATCAGTCAAGTTATTATCCGGCTCTTGCACTACGGTGGTTTCCTGTAACTCTCTAGAAAAGTCCTAGGGGAAATTAAATTTGAGCTGATTCTTTCTTGGCAGTCTTGTCCTAAATTGTAGTTATAAGTAAATCTTGCTGAATTCAATGGAGTTTATTTCTGAGTAAACCATAGCAGTTTGGATCGGGGTCAGCGGACCGCGTAGCCCTTGAGCCAAGTCTTCTGCCCCGTGAAGTATTCGAACAGTCGCGATCAGAGAGCCCGTGAAGGGCAAACATCAATCTATGGCATGCCAACTGGACTTACTCCCTTTACTCCCAACAGGGAAGAACAACAAGCTTCGCTCCCAAGGCAGAAGCCGCCTTCCGGTCTGTAACTCACATCTCATGCGAGCGGCTGCGGAATTCACAACCAGTGGACCGCCGGAGATAACCATAGAGAAGAAACGCGACCAATCCCGCTCGCACAAGTTTGTCCTGTAGACAACTTCCTGTTTCTGGCGGAACTGACGTTTTTTCTGTTACTTGTAGTCCATGGACGCAAACGGATGTTGCGATAGGCGGGTAAATTTGAAAGCGGGCGAGAAGCGGGCGGGGCCAGAGCGAGAAAAAGCAGTAAGTAGCGATTGCAGCAATGTCGTTGCCGATGAATAGAGGTTACTAGTACCTGACTGAGATCGGCCGCCAGTTGGGCGGCTTGAGAGAAGACATTAACGGTTAGTAATATACAAGCTTTTCTTGCGGAACCAAGGCGCAGTTGGCAGCTACTTTAAGTTTTGCAGGCCAGTAGCGCCCCTCTGCTTTTTCTCGGAGGAAAATGAAAGCCACCTTCACAGTTTTCCTTAGAGAAAAATCCCGGTTCATTTTTCCCCCTAAAGGAAAAAATAATTTTATATTAATTTTATATTAATATGCGTGCGAACAACTGCTTTCAACGCAATATAAATCGTTCTAAACTTGATTGTAAAAATACGATTTTTGTAATAGAGTTGTCAAAGTCTGGAATGCTCTACCTAATTCAGTTGTCTCAGCTACAAATTTTTACAATTTTAGTCACAAATTGACTTCCGTGGATCTCATTTCGTACTTAAGAGGTCCGTAGAAGGGGCGTGCATAAGGGCACTAACTTGGCTATTGTTCCTATCATTGTATATTATAATGTATATTATATTAAAGAGTGCAGAAGATGATTAGGGGACAGGAGACTAAAACATGGAGAACGGTTGCAGGATCTGGGTATGTCTAGTTTAATAGAAAGAAGGACCAGTGGAGACATGATAGCAGTGTTCCAATATCTCAGGGGTTGCCAAAAAGAAGAGGGAGTCAAACTATTCTCCAAGGCACCTGAGGGTAGAACAAGAAGCAATGGGTGGAAACTAATCAAGGAGAGAAGCAACTTAGAACTACGGAGAAATTACCTAACAGTTAGAACAATTAATCAGTGGAACAACTTGCCTCCAGAAGTTGGGAATGCTTCAACACTGGACACTTTTAAGCAGATGTTGGATATCCATTTGTCTGAAGTGGTGTAGGGTTTCCTGCCTAAGTAGGGATTTGGCCTAGAAGACCTTCAAGGTCCCTTCCAGCTCTGTTATTCTATATTATTCCTGTTTTTGTTTGTTTGACAAATTACAATAAATAAATATTACATATTCTAATTCACTCTTACTTGCAAGCATTTGCTCTGCTTACCGCCAAATAAATAGGTTCAGGATGTGAACCTTCTTCTTGTCATCTGAAGAGTGAATCCAGAAATCCCCTTTTTGGGAGGCTTTGTTCTGTCAAAAGAGGGGAAATTGTATGTGTCCTGGGATAACATTGCAGAATCCAATCTAGACGTTTCCAGAAGAGATGGGCTCCATCATGAGTCCGAAAGTTCAGAAGTCGAAACCTCTAGTCTCATTGACCGACCCAAATTGGATCCTGCAGGTTTTGTTCCATCCAGGAATGGAAAGAGAAAAAAAAATATTCAGCAAATGTACTCTACTATTTTTTTCCAGTTTTACTTCCCAGTTTAAAAAAAAATATTTTGGTGGGAGCAGAACTGGGGGTGAGTTTGCTTAGTAGCCAAGGGCTTTTCTCTGCTGAATCCAATTCAGCATTCCAGTCCATTCCAATCCTTTCTGCTGCCCTGGGCCGAACCATATCTCCAGTCCCACTACGGTTGAGTGTGTTGGTTTTAACCTGCTTGTTTTTTTCTTACTTTTTAAATTTTTTAGTATTTTTAAATTGTCTTTTATGTAAGCCGCCCGGAGTCCTTCGGGATTGGGCGGCATATAAGTTTATTAAACTTAACTTTTATTACACTTAAACTTTCCCTTCTCCTACAAGTTTACCAAAAGGTTGTGGTTGTCCTCCTGTGTTACAGTTTTCCCTACAACAATGAGGCGTAGTTCAAGTACCAGTCGAATCAGTTGCCGGCAATCAATCCAGCCACTGAGGGTGCAGGATAATAATAAGACGGGACTTCATACACCCCAACCGTAAGACACTCAGATTCCTTTAGTTGAGGTGGCATTCATTTACTTGGCTTAAATTTCTAAAGCATACCTGCTTGAAAATATTAATGTTACTTGTGTTTACCTGTTACTGTTATGTATGAAATAAATGGTTAATTAGATAAATTCACTATTTTGTTTAGGATTAAAATATGATCTGTTTTTTAATTTACACATGCAGTAAACTAGAGTACAGTACATAAATATTAAGCAATAGACCACATTAAAATCAAATATGTAGCAAAAATTAAAGAGCAGATAACTTTATTGGATGGCATATAAAATGATTTCAGTTTTTGGTGGTTTTAATAATTTGTGCAATTAAATATTTTCAAGGCAAGAGAGAAGGACAACTTTTGGAAAGCAGAGTGCGGGAAAGCACGCACCAGGGACATCAGAAAGGAAAACCAGTTTTTTTGGCAAAAGGTAATTCGTATTTCACTTGTTAGGATTAACTTGAACACTACAATGTTCACTTCCAGTATGGTAACATATCAGGTAAAGTCCGCTATAGGTCTCAGATCAATGAGGTTTGTATTACTCTGGCTTATATTCGCAATATAAGGAGTAAAAGATTTTCACATGACAAGCTTAATTGCCATTCTTTTTAGTCTTTTAAGTCTCACTTGTTATTATAAATTGTATTTTCTATATTTAAATAGCTTTGTAGAGATAAACTGAATAATGCCATAGTTAACCTGGATGCATATTTGTGGTTTCAATTCTAGGACTAGTGGCCCCGGAAGCTTACGGAACAGCCAATATGGTGCTTTTGGAAGTACAGAGAAAATCAAGGAGCCTAGGCCACTTCATGACAAAGCATTTATTCAGCAATGTATCCGTCAACTTTATGATGTATGCAGCACTTGTTTAACTAGTTAAATCTCTCTTTTATCAGAATAAATTGTACCTATTGATCAATGAAATTTGGAAAAAGCAAGGTAAAAATAGCCTAATGGGCCAAGAAATAATAGGCTACCCAGGTTTTTAAAAAGGTATGAATTACATTCACATTTTAAAATTACAAATGGTAGGAACTATTAGGCTGTTCACAAAAAATGCATCTTAGAAGCGTCAACAATGTATTTTAATTATGACAAAAATATACGTAAATCTGTTGAATAAAATACATGATTAATCTGCAAAATTCTCTAATTGAACAATAATTTGGACCATGTAGAGATTTGGATTGCTCGGTAAACTGGCATAAAGCCCAAAACAAGTAATACTTTCTTTTTTTTTTCCTAGTTTCTTGTAACATATGGATATGGTCCTACAGTCTCTGTGAAATCACTCCAAACTCCTTCTGCTAAGGAATTTGTGAAAATTTTTAGCTTTATTTATGAACAGTTTTGTCCTTCATGTGACCTTGCGGGTTCCAAATTTGAAGAAGAAATCCCAAGAATTTTCAAAGAGCTTGGGTAAGTACAATTGCCCCATTTAATTAATTTCATCAATTAAAAAGAATATAACTCAGAATATTTTGTGGATGATACATTTCTGTATTACATGTTAGAAAATTATTATCTTCCAGAGTTTATCAAGGTCCATAATTATATTTCATTTTAATTTTGTAATATTTAGACAATATGTTCTTACAAGAAGTTAAACTATATGTGTTACAGGTAGTCTCATTTAGCAATTTGGACAGGCAACTTGATTGTTATGTAGTTGCTAAATAAAAAATCATAGGACCACAATTATGCTTAAGATTTCAGCTTTCTTTTGCTTTATAGCGTCAAAAGGATACAACCCCAAAGAAGCTGGGTGAGCCTAAATGGCAGGGAAAGTTTGATTCACAAGGACATCGGGTAAAAGGGCAAATATTATAGCCCTTTTTCTTAACTTTGGAATGCTCAGCCTGGTGCTGAAATATTTAGCAAGGGAAAATTGATGCTTAAATTTACGTTCATTGGAGACACAGGGATTACATCAGGGGTATCAAACTCACATCTTAACGGCATCTCAGGACTTTTTCCCCTTCGCTAAAACAGGCGTGGGTGTGGCCAACACATGACACATCCGGCCACTGGCTGAGAGTTTGATAACCCTGGATTACATGAAAGTAAACAGGCACAATGGGGACTACACATTGAAATAAATGCCCTAGTGCCAGCTGTTTGCCTGAACTCCTAAATTGGGGGGAGAGCTGAATGTGACATAAACATTGCAAAGATTGTAAATGTGGGCACTGCTCACAAAGTTACTTTTTCATCACTGTTGTAAAAACGGTCACATGTAACCGTTGTGATCAGTTGTTCATAGGAAAATAACAAAGGCAGGATTCTTAACATTCATTTTAACTAATGATTTTATAGAAAACAAATCTAAGGACGCTTCCTTTTTGGGTCTGAGTGCAACTTGAATTGTATCTGGTATTTTCTTGAAAAAGTAAATTTTTTTACAGATTTTTTTTTCTTACAGTTATCCATTTCCTTTGTCGAAAAGCTCTATGTATACTGTGGGTGCTCCTCATACATGGCCTCAGATTGTAGCCGCTCTGGTCTGGCTGATAGATTGTTACAAGGTATTATAGATAACCTATTATTTATTTAGCCACATTTATAGGTATTTTCTGACCTTTCATTTAATTTTGATCTGCTTATAATATAGAAGTGATACACTGAAAATACAAAAACTGGTTTAATGAAGTTCTTGTGACTTTGACAGATACTTTGTAATATATAATGTACTATTAGAGCTACTGTTGCACTTTTGTTGCCATATTACTTATTTCAAACAAATAGTATTAACAAATTTACAGTCAGTAATTTTCAAACAAAGGGCCACATTTGCGTTACATGCCAGGAAGTCACCAAAAAGTGGATGAAACCCAGGGCAAAATAAATTTCACTAAAAATAAATGTATGTGTTCATATAAATTCTAATAAATTTAATAATGTCCTTTTTAGTTGGCAACAATCTTCAGAAAAGTGGGTAGGGAAGCACAAATTGTATTCTGATTAATTCAGAAAAAGGAAATAGCAAGTATGCTATACTATTACAGTAGGAAACATTATTCATTGTGACTATGTCCTTGTTTGTGTCTTACCCAGTTGTTTACTTGTATGAAAGAAAAACCACAGTCATTTGATGAAGAACAGATTTTGATAGAGACTGAAGATGGAATTTTGCATAACAAGGTATTTTAGTTCTTTCTCCCTAAATGGTGGAATGAATATTACTTGCTGGCAATAAAATGATGCTGTAAACAGTGCATGTTCACATATGGAACTACCCAAGACAACAACTTGAAAGCAGCAGAGAAGTTGATTAACTTATTTGCAAATACGGGTGCAACAAAGTTGAACACAGAACAAAGCATGAAAGTTAGCTTATATCACCTTACACAGATTTATCGCCCCCCTCCCCTTGTCAGCACAGCATACTATTGAAGCATTTAGTCTATCTTCCCCCCCCCCCCCAAAAAAAACCCTTGTCTTGGCTATGTTTTCACAGTTTTTAACTTTTTGTCTTGCATTAGCTCTACTGTTCTTGTTCCCTGCTTGCGGTTAGAGCTGGCATCTTGTTTGCTAGGCTTGTGGTTTCACACAGCTGACATTTAGCTTGTTACCTGTTACATGTTTTTGAAGACAGCTTACATGCATTTATGCTAAGAATTTAGAAACAATACATACTCCAACTTGTTTTCGCATTTAATAATTGTATGTATTAAAATTTGTTTATATCAATGGTGATCCTGATTAACATTTAGTATATGTTGCTTATGAAATCAGCAAATGTCTATATTAAAGGTTACCATTTTTACTAACTTGATGTAGGAATGTAAAAAATTTTCTTAACAGAGAGAGAAAAAGCACACATAATCTGTAATGCAATACTGTTTAGCATATTTTTAAAAATCCCTAAAACTAAACTGATTTTACAATTATGTCCTCAGCTTTTTTTGGACTACTCTATAAAATGTTATGACCATTTCATGAAGAGTGAAGACAATTTTGAAGAATTTGATGCTGAAATAGATTCCAAATTAAGTGAGTAATTTACATTGTAAAATGTTTTTAAAAAGTAGGCATTACTATGAATCTTTCACCATTTGCTTTCTGTAGTTTCTCAAACTTCTTAAAACATTGTTCACCAAGCTATTAATGTAGGATATTTCTGTTTAAACGCTAAGGTCCCCCCCCTCCCCCGTCATCTCACTTAATCTATGAACACGAGATTTAGTAAGTTTCTGTACTATTTCTCAAGACACTACTATTTCTCAAGACACTACTATTTCTCAAGACACTTACCATAGGTTGATGGGTAGAGCTCATGTGCCTAAGAAAAGTATTTTTTGGTTTAATTCCAGCAGGAGGCTATTCCCACTCCACCATTTTTTTCTCCTGAGAAGCCCCAGATGGCCTGGGAATCTTGTACTCCGTAGTGCTCTCCTGCTCCATACCACTCTCTTGCCCATCAGCTGCTTGCCTGGGATTCATGCCTCTTTCCATGTCATAGTCTTGTTAGGTTCTCACTTAACAACAGCAACAGGGTCTGTCATTTTTGCCAGCACTAAGTGATGCAGTTGCATGTTGTGGCACTTTATGACTACTTTACTTAGTGAGGGAAATGCACTGAAATTATAACAATTGTTTTTAAAAATGGTTTAAATCAGATATTTAGTAAAGCAAAATGTCAACTTGTTTCCCAGTAATTGTCTCAATTACTATTCAGATTAATGACTAAAGTTATAGAGCATTCAAGTGATTAGAGGGTTACTTTGATCTTTCTTTCAGAGAATCTGTTTCAGGTACATGAAAAGCATTTAACAGTCTTAGAAGAAAAAGAAAAAAGGTTGAAGGAAGAGATTGCAAAGCGTGAAAAGGAAAAAGAAAGCGAACCAGTGAGTAACTGTATACATAGCTCTGAGAAGATATATTTGTAAGTGATTTTAATTAACAAACTACAATTTCCATCTTTTTGTATAAAAAAGGACCGTTTAGAGCAACTACGGAGGCTGAAATCATCTTTACAGGCAGATTGTAAACAATATGAGTCTTATATGGCCAGTTTGGAATCTCTCTCAAGCAGCCTCAGTCAAAAGACAAAGAGTATTACAGAGGAGCAAGAAGCTGCTGGTAAGGAGAAGCTGCTCAACATCAATAAATGTATAATAACAGTATAGTGTTTCACTATAAAATTTTAAAATAAAATATTGAGTATTTCTCAGCTCAAAGAAAATATCTAAACAAAAGTAAAGAATTTAATTACATCTTTCTTAGTATTAGTAAGTTTCTTACACCTTTTAGTAAATTCTTATGAGATTAAGTTCCTAATATTTTGAAATTTTATCCAAGTAGTTAAGCTTCAACTTAACTGAATGTTTTTTTAAAACTTATCTGTTTTCTTAACAAGAGTTTTATTTTTCTTGAATTTTAGCAATGGAAATTGAAGCACTGAAACAGGAAAACTCACATTTGGTGGTTGTTTGTGATAAACAAAAGTATTCCACTGCAGACATTGAGAAACTGAATTCTGAAATAGAGGAGCTGAAACAGGCAGTAAATAAATTAACCAAGGAATTGGAAGTAGAACAGCGGCAACTGTGGAATGAGGAATTAAAATATGCAAGAGGAAAAGAAGCAGTATGTATAGCTAAAGCTAAAGTTTTGAACATCTGACATTTGCATCTGGGAGACTAACATTTCTACTACTGCTGCTTTATTTCTCATAAACTGAATTAAATAATATTTTATTCTGCTAGTAAAAAATAATTAGCATCTATAACACATTGTAAAAACTTAATTTGCTGAAAAATATTTATCTTCTCTGGAAATTTCTTAGGTCACCTTTTCTCTTTATCTCATCTAAAATGTCTTGTATTTTTGTGACTATATTTAGAGTTCACTAATATAATTTATAAAATAACCTAATGAAAGCTTTACTTGCATCTCAAATCATTTTTAAATCAATACCTTTATCTAAATTATTTTCAGACATGATTTTAATTTCTTTTTATATTTCTCCACCATTGTTTCTTTCTGTAGCAAGATTTCATTGCATCTCAATCTAAATGAACCAGATTTCTTGCTATAAACAAAATTCACAAGATCCAAAAAGGTCTTTGCTAATATTTATACCTTAATGGCCCAATCCAAAAATCTAAATCATATTTTTGAAAGTATCTATTTCACTCAGAAAAGTAGGCACTCTTTTGAACTGCAATTTTCTGTCTCCAACCAACTTTAAATTGGCCATCAAATCAAAAGGGACAATTTTTTTTGATAGTTTTTCTTGAATAATTTTAATGTTTTTCAGAAGCTGGGAAGATACAAAAGCTTGTACTAACATTCAAATATAGGCATAGAAAAAACAAACTTTGAAAATACAAAGAAATGCAAAACAATGCTATGGTTATGAAGCAATTCAGTTTTCATAGACTTCATTAGCTGTCTTACAGTATGCTTCTTAATTTTGTTTGTTCTTTATAGATTGAAGCAGATTTGACAGAATACCATAAATTGGCTCGAAAATTAAAACTAATTCCTACAAGTGCAGAGAATTCTGATGGTCTTAATTTTGAAATTAAATTTAATCCTGATGCAGGCCCTAATTGTCTGTTTAAGTACAGAACTCAGATTCGTGTAAGTATAAGTTCACTTCATGTAAAGTTCTTTTAGTTAATCACTTTATTACAATAAATGAACATAATATTTTAATAATACTTAGATGAAGTTCAGTTTTCTTATCACAATGAGTGTTGTTGACATCTTATTTATTATGCAGAAAAATTGGTTTAAGTACTAGGTATAGACTGGAATATGTTTAAAGGAGGCTTAAAATTTTTTGCACATTAGGTTATGGATGCTCCCTTAGAACATCTCTGGTTGAAAAGGCTTCTGCTATTTTGTTTTGTTAATCAACTTCTTATTGGCATCTAATTGGCTTCTATGGGAAACAGAATGTTTGACAGGTAGACCATCTGATCCAGCATGGCAATTTCTGTGGCTTTATAATACAAAGAGCCGAGGTGGCACAGTGGTTAAATGCAGCACTGCAGGCTACTTCAGCTGACTGCAGTTCTGCAGTTTGGCTGTTCAAATCTCACCAGCTCAGGGTTGACTCAGCCTTCCATCCTTTCGAGGTGGGTACAATGAGGACCCGGATTGTTACTGGGGCAATATGCTGACTCTGTAAACCACTTAGAGAGGGCTGAAAGCCCTATGAAGCAGTATATAAATCTAACTGCTATTGCTATTGCTAAACCTCTCCCTGGAGTATGAACTAATGTAAGAGTACTTGGGAAAGAATATTGTCTTATCAGTTTTTAGGAAGATCTTTTATATATTACATGCATGTGCTATTTATTTAAAATATTTCCTTCTTGAACCCTATAACTGGATTACTTTACTGGAAAACTGTACTTTTTTCTTTATTATGTTTATATAATTATGGCAGGCTCCCCTTCTGAATCTCATAAACAAGACGGAAGAGGAGATTGCAAATGCAACAAAGAGAAAAATTAGCTTGGAAGACACATTAGAACAGGTTAGTTTTTAACTATCTCTGGTGTAGCATAAAACCAGCTATATAGTATAATGTAATGCAACCTATATTAATCCTTGTTTAACTATACTTTTCTATTTCTAATCATAATTCAGCGCTCAAAACAAGTATAAGGTTGCTAGGAAAGAAAAATGATAATGAAAAAAAAAACAGTGGACAATTAAATCTAAATTTTTAGATGTTCGGTACATATGACTATAGATCTCCAAACTGTTCTGTATGTAAGCTAAAATATTTTCAAATGTGAAAGTTTGGCTGGATTCAGAATTTTTCTAATTATTAAGAGCGTACTGTAGGAAGTTTTCCTCTATTGCCCAAAAAAAAGTAGACTTGAAAGCAAAGGATGTGAACTGGAGGCACCCTTGACTTTCAGTACTAACATCCTTTATTGAATAATATTCTTTAAGGTAAATACAATGGAAGCTGAACAGGAAAGCATTGTGAAAATGTTAAGTGAAGAAATGCAAAAACTGGAAGATTTATGTCAACAAAAAGCAAAGGTATTGTACTAAGTATGAAATATGCTTGTAAGTTTATCTATAGAATTCATTATTAAGAGATTTTTTTCTGTTAAGAAACATTGTACGCATAATGTAAAGAAACAGGCTGGTGTGGGTAACGTGCTTATCTAGAACTGGGAGAACTGGAGTTCTAATCCTTTCTGGCTTAAAAAAAACTAGCTGGGTAAAGTATTTTCAAAAGTATTTTAGCTAGAATAAAAATTAATGATCTAAAAGATAATTACATATAGCACTTCTAACAAAATATAGAACTGGAGCAGTGTCACTATATTAAATTTACAATATTATCTTCTTGCAAGAGATACGGTCTATCTGTGTCATAAACATATGATTCAGTCCTGAAATATTAATCCATATATGTATTTCAGGAAGTTGACGAAGAAGAAGAAAAGACTAAGAAGGAGCTGGAGTTGTTGGAGAAACATAAAAGTTTGCTTTATAGTGGTGTCAATGAGGGTATCAGTGAAGCCACGAAGGAACTGCATGAAACCCGATGCCGGTTAGTTTAATTAAACAAAGATTTGACTGAGAGAGTTTTCTGAGTTGAACATATATTTATTCAATTTATAGCACCACTCATCTCAATTTGTGACTTTGAGCAGTTTACAGTTAAAATGTAAACTTTTTTTTTTTAAACTCACAAAATAAAATAATCATACAAGCAATGCAATGCATTGCAAATATTAATCTTAGTTAAATGAGAAAATTTTTAATGAAACATGTTTAGATTTTGGAATGCTACGAGTGTTAATTATTATATGCTGTTTATACAAACCTTGAATTTATAGATAGTGGGACAGTTTTTCAATATAAATAATGCAATATTCTCTTCTTCCCTCTTCTGGGATTTACTCCTTAGATACCAAGTGGTTATGCAAACAACTTCAAAAGAGAAAAGGAAAATGGATAAAAATATGCAGTATCTTCTGGAACTAATATTTACTCATCTTGAGACAGTTGAGGTAACTCATGCTATTATATACTACTAAAACTCAGAGTGTACCCTTTAACTGGCTGAAAATTGTATCAGGGCAAAAAAAAAATCAGACTACCTCTTAAGGTCTAATTTACAAAATGCTGGGCCTTTTCTTCCAAAAATGAGAGTGAAATTTAAGAAAGTTTTGACTATTTCACTTCTGCCTGGCTACTGCTACTGCTGCTGCTGCTTCTCCTTCAGCACTGCTACCACACTGATTTCCACTCTATCCCTTTCACTTATGTTAGGCTTCTTTATACATCTTCCTCCTCGTGCTATATAATAACACAGAAAATTTAGACAAATTCATGCCATCCCAAATTTCCAAGAATTAGGAAATGCAAGTTGATCCAGATAATTAAATATCTTATAAATGTTAGTGACATAGACCATGTGTATTTGGAAAAGTGGCTCTCTAATGTTTTCATCATCTTCATTGGGTCCAAAAAGGAGCAATGGGGAGCAATCTTTTGTGTCAAGCTTGATATTGGAGATTTGGGACAGAAGTAAGATATTGTTGACCGTATCTTCACCTGAAGAGGTAATTGTTTGGGGGCTATTAACCAGGACTCTTCATGGTAAATTCAACTACAGTTCTTAATGATTCTCTGGGTTAATCTTTGGTTCATATTTCAAGATTTTCTTAAAAGTTTCTGCAATTTTCTAAAATATATCCAAATATTCTAAAAGAGGGAATAGTGCACAATTCAGATGCAGACGTTTGGGTTATATAGTGCAAGATTACCAAAATACAGTATGCCTGGCTGAATTTCTTTTATACCTACCATATTTTTTGCAGTATAAGATGCACCAGACTATAAGACGCACCAAGGTTTCGAAGAGGCACATTTTTTAAAAAAGTTTTTGCACTCTGCAAACCTCCCAACCACCCCCTTTTTTTTTAAGGCCATGAATAGCTTTTAGGTGGCTTATAAAGTGCTACTGGGGGGGGGGGCAAAATTGAGCAAAGAACACCATTTTTTTGGCTCATTTCTGCCCTCCCCAGCCCCCAGGAGCACTCTGAAAGCTGCCTAAAAGCTATGCGTGGCCATTTTGATGAAGGGGACGGGGTTTCAGGAGACAAAAAATACTGTATTCAGTGTATAACAGATTTTCAGCCTCTTTGGGGAGGGGGGAAAGGTGCGTCTTATACTCCGAAAAATACGGTATATCTTTTCCCAATATAGCTTTCCAACTAGTGTATCTGTTCATCAAATAAAGAGTGTCTGTCTAACCTGCCTTTTTAGTTAACTATGTGGCCACTTGTTTGCATTCTGTGCATTATATCATCGTTTGTATTTTGATGTTTCTGCCATGGCTTTGATTGAAGCCTAAGCCACTTTGACAAAGTTTGATATCGATTGGATATGGTCAGAGTAATAAAGATATACCTGCTTGTTAATCTATTAAGTCTTATCAGGATCACTTCATAAATATTTCTATACCCTTGTTACTATGTGGATAAACTCTTACCTTTCCTTTTGATATTTTATCAGTAAAGACAGAGTATATTCTGCAAGAAGAATGGTCTGTTTAGGCTATTAATTCCATTAAGCCTTAGCAACTATGAGTCACCTGTAGATACATAGAATAAAGTTCATTCTCTATAGTGGATGGAGTATATACATTCCATTGTTTATATTTTATTTGGAGTTCCTAAAACTTTTTGATGCCTGTATTGTGGGGTAGTGATGGAGGGTGGTTGGTAATGTTCTCTGCCTATTCTTCCATTTTTACAAATCTGTTATGCAAGCCTATGGAAGTTTTCAAGGTATAGTTCACATAAAACTTCTGTTTTTATAACATTTCATAATTTTGTACTGGTTTTATAGAATCTTATCATGCCAATTCTGCATGTATAAAATCAAAACTATAAGCACTAAAATATAATCTATTACCATTTTCTTCTAGAAATACTTGACTGAACAGAATATAAAACTTGACAGAGAATTCAATGAATTTATATCTCAAGATCCGCTGACGAACTTGAAAGAAATCCTAGATAATTACAAAAAGAAGATGAGTACCCTGTATATTTCAGACACATGAATGAAAATATCTGTATACTATAAAAATGGTCTAAAATATTTGCTTGCTAGGGCAGTGTTTTATAATGTTTTGAATCGTACTTCTGTTCATGTGAACATATGGCATTTGGAGGCTATCTCTTTTTTTATTGTAATAATTATTAAAACCAATATTCGCTTTTTGGATGCATAAATACATCAGGCCTTAAAACCTGACTGTTTTATAAGTTATCAGTAAAGGACAATGATAAATCTCATGGATTTGAATATTTCATATATACTTGTTTTGTTCCTGAAAATACTAATTAAAATTCAACAAGTATGATTGAAAATTGAGTCACTAATGTAAAGTCTGTAATTGTCTACCAATTATCAAAACCACAGTTTTAAATAGTCAATATTTCACAAGATCTCAGGTCAAGATTTGAGGTAAGATAAACACATTTTATTGTGGAGTGAGACAGTTCACCTAATTGCCCACAACAGTGGCTGGGACTGAAGTCTGCTGAATGCTGCTCTGTTCTGCAAATTGCAGAAAATATGGCTATGAAGACTATTTTTTCAAATTGACAAAACTAATTCTTATAGGAAAAAGTGCAACACAGCTCTGCTTTTACCTACTGAAAAATCTACTTGGGTTATATATTTTTTTTAAAAAAAATTCCAGCAGAAAATACGTTTTCAATTAAAATACATTATTTGGATTCTTCAGGCAAAATTAATGGTAAACAGTTCAGTGAACTGCACTTACTGTAAAAGAAAAACTTACAACATATTGGGAATAATAAACATTGAAAATAGAGGTGCCAATATAATGCCCTTATCCAAGTGATGCTAGAATAGCTGGAATATTGTATGCAGGTTGTCCTACCTCAAAAAAGTAGAGCATCAAAAGCATTAGAGGAGGACAACTAAGAGGAGAGGCTGGACCAATTATCTACAAAAATGTTATGATATTTGAGCTTTTTTGTCTAGAAAGGTGAACAAGAAGGGATGTGACTGAAGTGTTCAAACATGCATGATGTGGATGAGAAACTAATTTCCCTTTCAAAATGCTGGAATCGTGGGTGAAACTGAATATTGGAAGACTATACAGACAAAAGGTCAAACATTAAAAAATGTAATTAAATTTTGCAACTGGCTATCACAAAATATGGTTCTATTGACCAGCTTAGCTGTTGTTTTTTTAAAGGCGGTTAGCATAACTACCTTTGAACAATTTGCTAGAGAAGAGTTTGCTTGTGCAATATGTTGGCTACTGTGAGAATAGACTAGGCTAGACTGGACAGGCGTCCAATCCACCTTTACTGGTTATGTTCTTAAACAGCAGATATTTATTAAATTTATACAGGTTATCTAGGGTACTGAAGGAACAAGCTAATGTTCTGGTAAACCTTTATGTATTATCACTAAAGAATTCCGGAGAAAGGCTGAAGCGAATGATAGAGGAGGGCAAATGTTTCAGTGGACTTCAGGGGAAAACATCTAGCAATAAAACCTATTCAACTATGAAATAAAATGCCTTACAAGTGGTGGACTCTCCTAGAGGGGAGATATTTAAACAGCCTGCATGACCTTTGTCAGGGATGCTCTAGTAGAGTCCTGCATTGGACAGAGGGTTGGACTAGAAGATGCCCAATATAACTTCCAACACTTACATTCTATAAGCCTATATTATATATTGCTGATCTTCAACCAACAGTGGGTTGATCAATAATTTTGCCATATTTGCCACAATATGAAAGTATTTTATATCCCCTATTATCATGTATCAGTGCTATTGGATTCATTACATAAATCAGATATTCGCTGAGGTTTTGCCTTTTTAAACATGTTACGTTGTATTCTGTTAACTATTTATTTTAAATAGATAAATAGAAAAAAATACCACAGTGCACTAAATAACAAAAATTAAATGAAACAATTCTTAAACTTTCAAAAAGTAACAAACCAGAGGCGGAAAATAACTTTTTTAAAATCCAAATTATGACAGTATTGTGGTCTGCTGGTGGCCTACAAAGCTGGCAGCAGAATTGGACAGTGAGGAGGTTGGGGAGGAGCATGGACCAGTCCTGGAGTATGAAAAAGGCTCAGACGAAGGGCCATCTGGGAGTTATGTGCTGTCTCCAGAACCTCCAGAGTTGGACATCAGTGAGGCAGAGGAACAGGGGGAGCCTGTTCCCAGCGTGCGCATGCACAGAGTTGCCAGAAGGCAAGAATAGTTCATTAAGACAGAAAGGAGGACTCAGGAGTAAGGCTTGGAGGTGATGCCAAGCTAATTGCCAATTAAGTCTTTGGCAGCGTTTCAAGGAAGATAAAGGTATCAGCCTTATCCCGAAAGACTGACAGCCTACTGTCAGACTCCTTACAAACTATTTGGGACTCATTCACAGCCTTTGAAATAAAAAGGATTTTGGGGACTAAGCGCCTGCTTTTTACTATATCAGGAAACCTAGGTCAGAACAAGTATCTTAAACTTATAAAGGTAAAGATTTTCCTCGCACATATGTGCTAGTTGTTCCTGACTCTAGGGGGTGGTGCTCATCTCCATTTCAAAGCCGAAGAGCCAGGGCTGTCCAAAGATCTCCACAGTCATTTGGCCAACATGACTAATCAACAAAGGCTGCGGAACGCTGTTACCTTCCCACCAAAGATGGTTCCTATTTTTCTACTTGCATTTTTACATGCTTTCGAACTGCTAGATTGGCAGAAGCTGGGACAAATAACGGGAGCTCACTCCATTACCCGGCACTAGGGATTTGAACTGCCGACCTTTCTGATTGACAAGCTCAGCATCTTTGGGCACTGAGTCACCACGTCCCTCAACTTATAGATAGGCACTGGTTTACTTTGTTATCTGTTTTATTTTGTATTGTCTTAATTTTCTTACGTTTTAATGTTTTGCTTTCCCTCCCCCCCTTCTTGAAAAAAGTTCACGTTATTCCCTCGTCCCACACTAAATGCTGTCAAGGCACCTAAGAGAAAGTGCCGCTGGCATTCTCAATTTGGCTTGTTCCTTATGGGGAGTACAAATCACTCTACAAGGGCGTTGTCTTTTCTCGGAAGCTTCACTTCGTCGCACCGCTGCTTTCTGCAAATAAACGAAACTCCTGCAGTCGCTTTCGTTTCTCCGTTTGCCCCGCCAGTCCTCTCGCTCTTTGCCTCGCTTGTTTAGTTTGGGCTGCCCGCGTTCGTTCCTCCCACTCTCCTCTTCCCCCCCCCAACCTCCCCTTATATTATGCAGGCCACGCCTCCTCATCAGCCCCCTCCGTTCCTTCCCTCTGCTAAAACGAAACAATCTGCTTGCGTTCGGCCAGGACAGCGCCCGGCGGGGAGGTCGGCGGAACATGGCAGCGGCTGAAGGAAACACCGAGGGCAAAATCCTAACGATCTTCGTCTACGATCAGCGTCGGGATCAGTCACATGACGCCAAAATAGTCCTTCGAGGTCACCAGGGAAACTATAGGGACTTCTGTAACGCCGTCCACCAGGTAACATAAGGGAGGGAGCCGAATTAAAATGCGGCGTCGTTAATGGACCTGCGCCTCTGCTCTCGCCGGCGGCGTCCTCCCCCTGTCCCGGTTCTCGTACCCTCGGGCTCCCGTTCTTCGAGTCACGCAGCGCCCCGGGAACCAGAATAGGAGCTTTTGGGGACACTGGGAAAGGAACAGCGAACGGTCAAGTTAGAGGTTAGAATTTGTAGTCGAGAGCAAGACGCGGTAGCGGAGAAAAAAATGAAGCTGCTACGTATTCCCCCCCCCCCCCCGTATGCCAGGAATGGTTTAAGAAAGAGTTTACTAAATAAATCTGAAATACTGTATGCTTCCGGTTTGCTATTAGGCTGCTTAGGTTGGCTGTTTTTTTTTAATCGTTGTATATTGATTGTTATCATCGTCTGCATTTTTCCATCGTGTGATAACATTTGTTCTTGTTACATGCTCTTAATGGTTAAAAAAATAATAATTTAGAAAAGTTGGCCTGCAAATGTCATTAAAAACCCCGTTTTGTGACAGCCTAACTCAGCTGTCATAAGTTATAGATGTATTTAAACATGTACTCACTCATAGTAAAGCTGTATGGTTCAATAAATTCCCATTCATTAAATTTCTAAATGAATGGAAGCAGATTCAATCTCTATGTTGTTTATTTATTTTATTTCATCAACATGAATTAGATAACAGATATAAGTATAAACATGAAATGAATACAAATGCAAAGGAATATTAGAACAGGGACGGTAGGCACTCTGATGAGCTTATGCACCGCTTAGGAATGGGGTGAGGTCAACAGTAGACAGTCTAAGATTAAAGGTTGTATGTTGTAAAAAGCTAAACAAATTGAGCACATAACTCTTATTATGCAATTGTTTACAGAATAAGATAACAACAATTGGATTCCTTGTGAGTTTGTCTTTTGTAACATGTCTGAATTTTTTGGGGCGATGTCTTTAAGTTAATATTAACT